CCCGCTTCCCTCTCGCCCCTTCCCCTTTACCTTGCCTTGGGCTTCTCGCCACGGTCGCCGCCACCGCTGAGCTCCTGAGCCGGGCGCAGCTGCGAAAGCCGATTAGCGGGCGTCTGCTGCGTCTCGCTCTCGCCAAGCAGCCTCCAGGAAGGGATGGAGAATGGCTGGGGGGGGGGGTGGGGACGGGGGCGCCCCGCCTCCCGCCTGGCCCGGCCTTTCCCCCACTCGAGGGCCCCCGGGCCGCGCCGCGCGGCATTGTGGGGGATGTAGTCCAGCAATGAGGAAGCGGCGGCACGTGCCCCTAGCCGCTCTGCACCTACTCTGTCCGGGCGACGCCGTTGCGCAGCAACCAGAGAGGGCGGCTCCTTCTTCCGGATTGGAAGATGATCTTACAAGAGGCGTACCCTCTGCCTTGACGCGAAGCAGGCGCGGAAGGAGGGCACCGACGTCTAATTCCGACCCTGTGCTGAGGATCCCACGTTCTACATGCCATTGACTTGAGGCTGGAGGGCTTAGGAGTGATTAAGCGTGATGCCGACAAGGACGTCCATTATTGCAGCTGAAGGTTCTTAGCCAGTGGAGTGAGGCAAGAAAAAGACCAAGCAGGAAAAAGCAAAATTACTTTTTTAAAAAAGAATTATTTTATTTTACTTTATTATTATTATTAATTTTAATTTGACCAGAGAGAGACACAGAGACAGAGCGAAAGTGAGAAAGACACAGAGAGAGAAGGAAAGTGAAGCTTCCAGGTCCAGGACTTGAACCGTAGTTGGCCATGTGGGAATCCAGCGCTCCTAATCTCCACACTACCCCCCCACGCCCCACAAAGTTACTTTTAATTAAAATCATTTTTAAATAATTAGTAAAAATAATTATATATGTGACAAATCCAAAAGAATTACACATAAATTATTGTAATTGATAAGTTTAAGGTTAATAGATTTGAAAAATAGTTTTTTAAAGTTTTTTTGAAAAATCAACATTTATTTTTGTATATCAGAAAAAGGGAATTTTAAAAATCATACTATTTGTTGTAACCCCAAGTAAATATCAAGTATCTGAGAATAAATTAATCTAAACAGAGCAAAATCTGTATTAAAAAAAAAATTGACAGCTGCCTGGTACCTAGTGGTTAAGGAAGCCAGGTCCCACATGGCTGACTGCAGACTGGAATCCTAGGCCTGCCCCAGGCGGACCTGAAAAACCCCACTGAGGGGAGAAAGACACAGAGAGAGAAGGAAAGTGAAGCTTCCAGGTCCAGGACTTGAACCGTAGTTGGCCATGTGGGAATCCAGCGCTCCTAATCTCCACACTACCCCCCCACGCCCCACAAAGTTACTTTTAATTAAAATCATTTTTAAATAATTAGTAAAAATAATTATATATGTGACAAATCCAAAAGAATTACACATAAATTATTGTAATTGATAAGTTTAAGGTTAATAGATTTGAAAAATAGTTTTTTAAAGTTTTTTTGAAAAATCAACATTTATTTTTGTATATCAGAAAAAGGGAATTTTAAAAATCATACTATTTGTTGTAACCCCAAGTAAATATCAAGTATCTGAGAATAAATTAATCTAAACAGAGCAAAATCTGTATTAAAAAAAAAATTGACAGCTGCCTGGTACCTAGTGGTTAAGGAAGCCAGGTCCCACATGGCTGACTGCAGACTGGAATCCTAGGCCTGCCCCAGGTGGACTTGAAAAACCCCACTGAGGGTGGTGCTTTCTCTCTTTCTCTCTAGCTCTCATTCTCCCTCTAGCAAGCCATCTCCCTCTAGCAAATAAATAAAATTATTAAAAACCATTGAAGAAGAACTAAATAAATGAGAGACATAATATGTTCATAGACTGGAATATTCAAGGCTGAAAGATGTCACCTTTCTTCAAATCTATCCATAGACCCCGTGCAATTCCAAACAAAATCTTAATAGATTTGTGTGTGTGTGTGTGTGTGTGTGTGTATGTGTGTGTGTGCCTGTTTGTATGTGTGTGTGAGAGAGAGAAATTTGATAAACTAATTTATAATTTTATGGAAAAGCAAAGACAAGTATTCATGAGGAAGAGGAGAAAAAAGAAAAAAGAGGCAGAGGAAGAGGGAAAGGAGGAAGACTTGTGCTATCAGATACCATGCTTTATTATAAAGCCGTAGTAAGTAAGGCAGCGTGGTACCAGATCAAGGATAAACAAATACACCAATAGAATAGAATCGAGAGTCCAGAAAATCTCACGTATAATAAAAATTTGATTTATGTCGTCATGGTGACAATACAGAGCAATGCCTAAAGAGTTCTCAATAATTAACTGGTGTGGAGACAAATAGTTTTTCTTTTGGAAAAAAATGAAATTGGGTTCTTTATATTATATACAAAAAGCAATTCCAAGTGGATACTAAACATAAATTTAAAGGCCAAAATAATAAGGCTTGTATAATTTATTTTATTTTATTTTTTAGAGAGATATTTGCTATATGATGCATGAGCTCACCAGAGAGACAAGGAGAGACAAAGAGACAGAAAGTGAGAAATCACCCCACCCCACCCCCAAGGGGGAAACAGCCATGCCACAATCCCCTCTCCTGCACTCTCTTCTGGAGATCTTTGGCATAGTGTCAGTTTCAAGCCGCTGGGTCTGGGACTCGAACTACAGATGACTATGTGGGAGTCCAGCAAAATAACCATTATATCATCTGCTGGTTCCTATTTTTAAAGATAATACAGGGAACCAGCAGTTAGCATAATGGCTATGTTGCTAGACTCCCACGTAGTCAACCACGGTTCGCGTCTCGGACCTGGTGGCTTAAATTCATGCCAGGTGCGTGTGCGTGCATGCCCAAGATCCCAAGAGGAGAATGGAGGAGAAGGGATTGCAGCGTGGCCGTCCCCCCTGGGGGGTGATTTCTCGCTTTCTGTCTCTCTGTCTCTCTCTGTCTGTCAGGCGAGCACATGCGCCCTATAGTGAAAACCTCTCCAAAAAAAAAAAAAAAGATAATATAGAAGCTTATAAGGGGACTTCAAAAAGTTCATGGAAAATGATAATTAAAGTATGTTTGTTTTAGTGTTATACACACATACATACGTATATATATATGTATGTATATATATTTAGATTTTTGCCAAAGGGGTCATGAGCTATGAGCTTGCCAAAAAGAGACAGAGAGAGGGAAAGTAAGAAATCACCCTCCAGGGGAGATGGCCATGCGGCAAATCCCTTCTCCTCCCTTCTCCCCCTGGGTATGCACACACACACTCTTTTTAAGCCACCAGGCTCAGGACTCAAATCGCAGTCAGCCAGTTAGGAATCCAGCTCTTTAACCATCACACCTCCTGCTGACCTGTAGTGTAAAAGATTTTCGAAGGCCAACCCATAATGCTAGGGAGCCAGATCCCACATGGCCAATTGCGGTTCAAATACCATCCCCAGCAACTTGAAAAACATGCCAGGCACATGATGTACATGATTAGAATCTTGACAGGGTGAAGAGGTGGAGGAAGGAGGACTGCAGTGAGACCACACCCCTGTGGGACATACTTTTTCTCTATCTATCTATGATAAGTGCATGAGCCCACTGGCAATAAAATTTTAAAAAATTAAAAACTTGGGCTAGCCAGTGGCATGGTAGTTAAGACAGCTGGATCCTATGTGGCCGATTGTGTAGTTCAAGTTCTGGTTACAGTGGCTTGAAAAACAAACTGGCACATATGTATGCTTGCCCCAAATCCTAAGAGAATAGAAGAGAAGGAATTACAGAGTAGTCATTACCCCAAGGAGGAGGGTGATTTCTCACTTTTCTTCCCACTGTCTCTCAGGTGAATACACATGCCCTATGGGGGGAAAAAAAAAAAAACTTAAAAAAATTTTTTAACTTAAAAAAAAATAGTTTTTGAAATCCACGGATGCCCTCTAACACAGTGATTAAGCGTTGTGCCTTAGGAGCTGAATCCCACATGATTGACCACTGCTTGAATCCCAGATCCAGTTGTTTAAGGAACACACCATGTGTGTGCATACCCCAAATCCTGACAGGATAGAAAAAAGGATTATGGTGTGACCATGCCCCATTGGAGGATGCTTTATATCTTTCTCTCTTTATCGCTCTGGTATGTGCATGCACCATCTGACAACTTAAAAAAAAAAAATCTTTATAAAAAAATTCAAATTCATGCATAGTTTTTTTGTTTGTTTGTTTTTTTCCAGAGAAGTTTTGTTTTGTTTTTGTTTTTTTGGCTATAAGGCACATGTGCTCACCAGAAAGACAGAGAGAGACAGAGAGATAGAAAGTGAGAAATCACCCCACAGGGGGGATGGCCATGCCACAATCTCTTCTCCTCCATTCTCTTCTCAGGATCTTGGGCACGCACGCACACATGCCCAGAGTGAGTTTCAGCCACCGGGTCTGGGACTCAAACTGCGGTCGGCTACATGGGAGTTCAGTGACATAGCCGTTATGCTAACTGCTGGTCCCTATAGTTTTTTTTTTTCATAATATGCATGTCCATTAACTTTTTTAATATACCCATGTATCTATGACTCTAAGGTAAAGGGTAGACTTTTAAAATTAATCCAGAAAGCACTAACTACAATAGAAAAATGGGTAAATTTGATTACATCAAGACTTGATTTCATCACATTATACTACTAAAAGAATTGATAGGATGGAGCAAGACAATGACACAGAGGTAACAACATTCTGCAAGGCTGAACCACATGGAAAGGTTCTAAGTTTGCATCCCGAGGGAGACTTCCAGAAACATGCCAGGCATATGCACGCCCATGATCTGGACTGGTTGAATCTGGGGGTAGCTCACAGCATGAAGATCCTAATGGTGGCTATCTCTCTGTCTCTCCTCATAGGAGAAAGAAAGAAAGAAAGAAAGAAAGAAAGAAAGAAAGAAAGAAAGAAAGAAAGAAAGAAAGAAAGAAAGAAAGAAAGAAAGAAAGAAAGAAAGAACGGAGGGAGGGAGGGAGGGAGGGAGGGAAAGAAAGAAAGAGAGAGAGAAAGAAACTTTAAAAAATATTAAACAGGGGAACCAGCAGTTAGCGTAATGGCTATGTCACTGGACTTCCACGTAGTCGACCGCAGTTCGCTTCCTGGACTCGGTGGCTTAAAACTCACGCCGGGCACGTGTGCGTGCGTGCCCGAGATCCCGAGAGAGAATGGAGGAGAAGGAATTGTGGCGTGA